TCCTACCAGAATCGAACTGGTGCCTTCAGATTATGAGACTGACGCGCTAACCACTACGCTAAGGAAGCTAATTTATTGCATATTATGTAATATTTATCTTATTTGAATACTTATTAATTTAGTTAACAAAATATCCAAAATATCTCGATTTTAATATTATATAAATATATATATAAATAAAAATTTATTTTGCCATCCTCTTCTAGCTAAAAGCTAACATACTGGTGGTATTATTTCAATATCAACGCCAATCTTAATACAAAATTTTTTTAATAGATGAAATAAATTAAAGTTATAACCTTTAGCTCTCTTTGCTGGATCACCGGATTTAAATATTCCAGGACCTACAAACTATCACATCCAAGTTGCATCATCGCAGGTCTGTATGTAGAGATTTTTGAAAAAATATAAAGAATAGTCATGTTAAATGATATATTATTCAATAATTGCGTTGCCAAACCCCCACCAAAAAAATTCATTACCGGAAATCCTTTCAATTCAATAGTCTTCAGTAATAAACCACAAGGTGCCTGTATTTTTCTAACACAACTAAATAATTCATTATAATTTTTCGTCTTTGAAGCTTCCTTGATTACATTTGTAACAGTTCTCATATGATTTACAGCTTCTACCACATTTTTGTTCTCTTGTGCAGCACTCTCAGTGATTCTTCGAAATGCTTCATCTAAATTCTTAGCTCCACATGCAAATGGAACTTTGAAATCGTCTTTATTTATATGATAACATTGATCAGCTGGCATAAGTACTTGAGATTCATCAATGTAATCAACATTAATTGCTTTTAAAATCTATTATTATTGTCGTTGTTACCTGAGCCTTCACAAAATATCCAGTTTATTACTTTAGCCAATATGGAATTGTGACTGCTATCTTTATCTTCTTTATCATTTTAAATCAGACATTCTAGCAACTCCATATAATAATATTAATGAAATTATAAAACGTTGATTTCTAAATTTATATAAAAAAATTTTAAACCTTCTTTTCTAATATCAGCTGATATGTGTTCTAAAGCCACAACAGCTACTGCGTCAACTCCTTCTTCAATCCTTGCTTGTTCAACATTTACAACACCCATGATTACTTCTCTTTAGTATGATAATTATAAGCTAAACGCAATCTGTTAACAACCCGTTATGCGAAATTTCTTAACGTTAACCCGTTACAACCCAGTAATCGGATAAGGTCTTAACGGGTCGTAACACCAGTAATCTCGTCGAGTGGACAGGCCTCGCGTACTAAGTGAAAGTTGTTCCCCCATACCAAATTGAGTTGTTTTAAACAATTAATGGAAAATCGTCGAATTTTTAAAAATCGTTTTCCTTACGTCCTTTATTTACTTTGCTTTTTTTTACATAAAAACATTTTGAACTTTGTATCATCTTAACAATTAATGCTTTTTGCTTTTATTTAGATATTTTATGATAAAGGCCTGTTGACCTTTTGGAAAGCGTCCGCATGCGGTGTTAAAAAAGGCGGCGAGTTTTTTTTTCATTAAATTATGTATTTATTTTTATTTTATTTAAGAATAATAAATAATAAGCTAAAATGATTTAATTATCTTTTTATTTTTTCTAATAAATAAAAACCTCAGTCCATTAACCTAACATTAAGACTTTATATACACAATGCAATCTCTGAAAAACAATATTAGTAAACTTCATTAAATATTTCACATCAATTCAGCATCTTCCAAGAATCGATATTCAAACCTTTTAAATAAAACAACCAATAATAAGAATAAATATTTGTAATATATATATATATATATATATATATATATATTACATACACACAATCAAAAAAAAAAAAAAATACCTAAACTCTGTTTTTTTACGTTGACACCAAGCTCCTTCATAATCAAAATATATATAAGTTCCTTGTTCGTACTCGTCAGTAATTGATTTGGGCTCTTCATGTCGTTGAAACCAAGTTAAA